CAATTTTAGTAGTAGTTGATAGATTTTCCAAAAGAGCAAGATTTCTACCATGTCATAAAGAAGATACAGCAATGGATACTGCCTTATTATTTTGGAATTCTATTATTTATGATGTTGGATGTCCCAGATATATCATTACAGACAGAGACCCTAAATTTACGTCAGAATTTTGGAGAAATTTATATGATTTATGCGGGACACAACTGAAATTTTCTACAGCTTACCACCCCCAAACAGATGGACTAGCTGAAAGAATGATTCAAACTTTGGAAGACATGATCAGAAGATATTGTGCCTATGGAATGACATTTAAGGATAAAGACAACTATACTCATGATTGGTGTTCATTATTACCTGCACTTGAATATGCTTACAATTCTAGCAAACACAGTACAACAAATAAAACACCTTATGAATTGGAAAGAGGTTGGACTCCTTGGTTTCCCAAAGAAATTTTAATGTCAAAAGCAGTACATATACACCCAAGTGCCTCTGATTTTCATTTTATGATGACCAAAGCTGAAAAATATGCAGCAGAATGCGTGAAATTAGCTGTAGATTACAACAAAACTAGATGGGATAAAACTCACAAAGCTCACCAGTTTAAAGTTGGAGACCAAGTCTTGATATCTACATTTAATTTTACAAATCTGACTGGACCTAAAAAATTAAGAGATTCCTTTGTAGGACCTTTTACAATCAAACAATTACACGGTGCAAATGCTGTTGAAGTTATACTCACTGGAGAATTAGAAAGAAAACACCCTACATTTCCAGTCAGTCTAATTAAACCATACAAAACTAGTGATAATGATAAATTTCCTTTAAGAAAAGATAACATCAGAGTTGTAATACCTCCTTTAGAGAAAGAAGAAATTAAAATTAAGAAGATATTACAACATAGAAAAATCAGAAAAAACAATGTGGACATGAAACAGTATTTAGTAAGATACAGTGGTACCAAAGAAGATGAATGGCTTACAGTTGATAAAATACCTGATGCTGATAAAATTCTCAGACAATACAGAGCTGATAAAAGAAAATAACATTCATTTATTTCTTGGATCAGCCTTTTTTAGAGGAAGGAAGTGTCAGCCACAGAGTACATGTCACAGTACCTTTCATGTACCAAGTAACTGCAACACCTGTACTTATGTACATAAGTACTTATCCATAATGTTGATTACCTTTACCTCTTGTTATCTTATCTTTATTATTAACTTATCTTATTTATCTTACAGTTATCCTATCTGTTAATTACTTATCTAGTAAATACATACCTGTGTTCTACATAAGTAATTATCACTTACCTTTCACTCCCTTGTCCGTGAAATACCTGTACCACAAGTTATCCCTCTGCTACAGTATTTTCACGGTCAAATATTATTACAAATAAATATGTACATGTATTAAATAATAAGTATTAAGTGTCAATAGAATTAATACATTCAATACATGCACAGATCACAATTATGACTACATTATTAGAGGATCTGTTAAGTACACATCAAGAGCAACTAGTACATTGATCAACTAGTACACAATTATGATGTCACTTACAGATCATGACAAATAATGATCAGTCACTCAATTGATGTGCTCATTCTCCTGGCCAAAGCTCCCTTGATTCTGAGCGCTCATTCTTTCCCCCCTTCAGTATTCTGGAACTTATAATCCGTGCCACTTCCACTGATTAATCCCCAGAATATTCAGACACCAGTTAAACCAGTTAACATTTATATTGATACAGTACACGTAACCAACATAAATCTTGTCTACATTTATTGTTCTTAAGCTTCAGTACTCTTACTCAACTTATCCACAGTATTCATAGCCTTGCTGAATATTCCCATCAACAATACCTGTTAATCTTCAACTAATTTTGTTAAAGCTTAATAAGTATTGTTAGCCCATTCCCTTTTGGGAATAACCAAATCAATCCCAGGTGAGTCTTAGTACCCTGGATGCCTATTAATACCTTGTATTGATCCGGATGCGCTGTTGATAGCAAGCCTCTCAGTAAAGACCATACTGATAGAGTGAAACCTCCTCATTACAGGACTGGTATTAATCACCCACTACCTAACACTCACCACGCTCAAAAACTTCAGTCAACTCATAGTAACAACCTTTTTACTATTAAATACTCAGGTTAGTTACCCAGAGGCTGACACTTGGTGCTATCTATAGAATATTTGAATTCTTGGACTGCAGAAAACAAGTGAGAAAACCTTGAATATTTCAATAGTAAATCAAATAGATCTTTAAAGTGTTCACTTTTCAATTTCAGCTCATTTGATTTTCTACCCATGATTCCTGGAGTCAATTTTTTCTCAATGAAATTTAAAAGATCACAGATAGTAAAAATAAAATTGTTGTCACTAATGATTTTGGGATGTTCTAATGAGCTAATCACTTCTAATAGCAGATCCATAAGATTCTTGACATCTTTTCCAAAATATTCATCATCTTGAATTGTTATATCAATATGTTTTTCAGTGCTGGGTATGAAATTTCCTGATTGGTGAAAATATTGAAGCTTATTGATATATTTGGTGCTTAAAAATGAATCCAGTAGAGCCTCCCACTTTTCTGATTTGTTGTGCTGATTGTATTTATTACCATGGAAAATTGTGTTTGATATTATGGCCTCCATAATGAACCTCTCTGCATATTCTTTGTTGAAATCTGTAGTAATCACAAATTTGTTCATGAGAAAATCAATGTGTGTTTTAATTGAAGATGCAAGATGAAAAGCTTACCCCTAATAAATTCAAAACCAAATGGCCAGAACCAGTCTTTGGTGATACTATCAATACCGTATAAGATTGGATTCAAAGTTCTTTCATTCAAATTCCTGATTCCTGAAAGTACTGCTTTCTTGAAGATTTCATTGTCCTGAAAAAACTTCTGCAAATCTGCCTTATTTATGAAATCATTCTTATACAACAAATCAATTATTTTGAATGAATAAACAAAGACTTCTACTGCTTCCAGTGGAAGCTCTTGGTCAGGCTCCAATTGATTATAGTCCAGCTTGTAGGAACCTATCAGCTTCATAATTTCTTCAACATATGAAAATGCAGATTGTTTCCACAAATCTTTTGAAATGTTGAAAAATGCATCATTAGGACAACTTTTGAGCCATTCTTTCATAATACTGCCTTCATGATGTTCTTCAAGTAGTGCTGCCATATGTTCCAAATCTGAATATCTTGTATCAACTCCCCCAAGTTCCCAGAACCTCAATTGTTTGAAAACAGCTATGTTTTCTTTAGATTCTTTGATAAATTTCAGTGCCTTGGAAAAACTTTCAGCTTGTTCTTTTGTCAATAATTTGATGGAAAGTTGGAGGCTATCAAAAATTTGTGAGAGCTCTTTTGACTCATTGTGGAGCAAGGTCAATTGAGCTAAATGTTTGAAAAAATGGTATCTTAACTATTTGAAGAAATCAAAATCATCTCTCAGGAAAGAAATGAACTCACACTCATTTTCTTTCCATTTTTCATTTATTTTCAAGCCTGAGAAGCACCATCAGGTTGAGAATGAAACAAAAAAAATCTGATTTGTTGAAAGGTTGACTAACGTTCTTCCTTGGTGAGAGGCTTCTTGGGATGATACTTCTGCTTTAAGTAATTCAACCAGAATTCTTGTATCTGGGAATTTTCACTTTTCTCTATAAATTTTTTCAAAAAAGAATTGCATCAATCCCAAGATTCTATGTTTGAAAAGAGTGCAACTCACCTTCTCCCCAATTTTTCCCTATCTCCAAGCCTGGGGAATTAGAGTATTATCAGCCTAGAAATAATCCACATCATCCGGAAAGACAATTTTGGATCATCAAACACCAACATTTTCTCTTAGCTGCAGGCTGTGTTGAGCCTGAGGGCTCTTCTTGGGTAAAAACATGGAACTCATGATGTTGGTTTAGGTGTTTTCTACGATTGCCCAAGAGTCTTAAGTGTACTTTTGGCTTGCTGGTATCATCCTCAGAAGGATCAAAATATCGTAATCTTGGGAGTGCTTTGTTTATTTGTTATGGGACAAATGAGGGATGGTTGTTAGGTCAAAAAAGATAGGTAAGCAAGAGGGTTCATCAACAATCATAGATGACCAAAAAAGGTTCATTTCAATGGTAATTAGTCTGATGAAAGGATTATCTCACCACAGAGCTCGTCCTCCCTGACCCTTTTAGGAGCCATGTGGGGGATGGATGTTCCCCAAGTAGCTGTGCTGGTCCACATGGAAATAAACAAAAATTTCAGTAACATTTTATTGAGAAAAAAAGGGTTGAAACCTGGACAATTTATTTTGGAGTATGTTCTTAAAAGTGCTTCTGTTTTACTGTACTGATAGCCTTTCTGGAACCTTTGCATGAGTTCATCCAAGTTCAAAGCATCTTTATCCTAAAACCTTATGTTAACTGTATTCACTTTGGAATGGTTTGGTCACAATATCAACTCTATGTATGTTGTACAAGCATGCCACTTCCCAGGTTGAGACATGTCTCTACTTGCCTGAGGTTTCACTTTTGATACATACCTCAGGCACAGTATAACTCATAAGGAGGAAAAAAAGGGGTTACATAAAAAGGAGTGAAAACATCTGTCTTGGTACAGCTACATACCCAATGTGTGTACATTCATCACTGGAGTTGGCTTTACCATGCCAAGCTGGCCTCTCTGAAGCATGGCCCAGCTTCAGTATTCTAAACAGGCAATGTCAAGAACCAATAATTGTTAGCACAAAGAAAATACATCTGAGAAGGATATCGTAGTAAACAATGTTGTACTGAGTGCGAGGAACATCATGCTGAACACATGCAGGTGTGTATTGTGTTTTGTTTTAACAAATTTTTATGTCTCATAAAATGGATTACATACATGATGCAAGGAGAACTTGGCAGTCAACATGTATTTCCTCAATGAGACATCCAATATCTGGTTTGTATGTATGTAGTCCAGCCAGCAAATGGCCCCAGCTGGGGGACAGACAAGGTGCAGAGCCAGGCGCACAAAAATCAGCGCGAGGACTGATTGGTCAAATGTTTCAAACTTATACATAACAAGGGTATTCTTTCAGATGAACAGGTTGAAGTGATCCTAGTATAGGGGACCTACTAGCAAAAGGAAAGCCGGACTAAAATGGTAGGGTTCTAGTGGAAAACTATGCAGGGAGAAAAATAAGCTACTTGGGTTCTTTGGAATTGATAAGGGTGCTGCTCGGGTATATCATCACAGGAAGAAAACTACTAAGGTGATTGTAAGCCACTCGTATGCTGTTATAACAATGGAGTTTGGGATAAGATGCCTTGGCACTCCTGGTCCGGAAAAAAGGGTTCAAAGCTGAACTTGAGGGGGGATGAATATCTCTTGGATTGTTACAATTAACCCCGGAATTAAAACATTCATGGTCACTTTGAACCGATTAAAACCACATCGAGAGGTTGATGGACGGTTTCAGACTTTTCATGCTATGCCACCATCTGACAATCAAAAATACAAATCAGGGCAAAGAAAAAAAAGTTGAGCAGAGGTAGAGCGACATACCCGGGTGGCATGACCAGCATATCACCTTCCTCGAGGACTATTTGGAGGGCCTCGGGCATGACCTTGTCGACGAACTGTGGAAACCGGCCCCGGAACTCTGCGAGCCGATCCTGGTCAACCGAGCCGAACACATCAACTTGAGAAGTGTTGGTCATATAGTTTGCTTGCAGGGTGTTTCTATCTTGAATTACTTCCTCTGGGCGACCAGATTCTTGGTCGCTCGTAGGAGTACCAAAGGGGTACATCTCAGTCGAAAATTTTGGAGCTGCTACCCACACGTACTTGCGGCCGACCACTTGAGCTGTTCATGGATGCACCGTTTTAGCCAGTTAGAGATCCACACAGCCTGGATTACTCTTTTATTCTGGAAAATGATGTCATGAATTGATTACCATAGCAGTTGTAGTAAGGATCAACATGCGCCGGGCTGACCGTTCCAGCTGGACCCAACCAAACATTCAAAATCACCCCATCCTCTACATCGGGTTTCGGCCGATCGTCCGGTGGAAGATCACAGTAGACGTATTCAGGAAGTTGGATGTCGTCTTTCAACTTGGGGAACTGATTGAACAGATTATATTGAGCGAGGTAGACCAGTTTATCCGGATTACACTCGTGCATTTTGTTCAAGAAATCTTCCCATCCCATGATGGTCTGGCTCCAATCTTCCTCGGCATATGTCTTTCCTACTTCGACTGGAACTACTCTACCAGGACCAGCGACAGCTTTCAAGTAGTCGATACTTTTCCAAGGGTTTGTCGACAATGCCTTCCAATCTTTGCAGTATCCTTTGATCACGAATGGTGACCTGTGGCTGGATTTCTGGAACTCTTCAACAGTTGGAGCCGCGGTAAACACGGGGATGGCGTTCATCACAAGCGGGATCGAGACCGGATTCGATCCTCCCGGTGGACGATCTTCCAAGGTTTTTCTCCGTCTTTTTTCGGGCCGTTCACCCGAGTCTTGAGCTTCCTTAGATGGTTTGATGCAATTTGCTTGAATCGAGTCGAGTAGAAAGAAGATGACGGTGCGTCTTCCTCGTCCGGGCGCGCCAGAAATGATCAAAGCCATATCTAACAACCTGATCATTTCCATCCAATCGATGGGATTTCGGCCATTTGTTGAGATGTTCGTTTCACACGCAAAGATCGAGCTGACTTTGAGCAAGATAGAGTCCGTATAGAGCTGTCTCCAATGCGTCGGGACCTCTTTATAAACGTACGACGACAGCTTTTCGTCGGATAAAATCAACAGCGCTTCTGCTGTGGCTACGGTCTCTTCACAGGCTCGTTGTGATTCCTCCAGCGAAATCGCGTCCTGGCATTGTTTCAAGAGTGAATCGCATGTAGTTTTCAGCTGGAATTGAATCGACCGTTCACATTGCTCCAAATCTATCCAGGCCATCATCGAAAACTCAGAAAGCCTCTCTTGCCGATCTTCGAAGAATAGAGGTTCAAGCTTACCACAAAAATCGCGTATTCTGGACCACAGCTCGGTTAGTTTCCAATGTATCCCCATCGACCGGCCAGACTTTCGGAAACACGCAATGACCAGGTTCGGTTCGATTTGTGTTGAGTCTTGACTTAAATTGAGAGGCCGCGACCTGCCGCGACACAATCGCTGTGGTCATTGGGAAGGCGCGCGTGCGCAGCTCGCATCTCGTGCACACTTGGCCTGCAATTCTTCGAGTTCCTTTCCATCATCTGCACACTAATCACACCACATGTTCTGTATTGGTGACCTCTGTAGGGAAACCTTGGGCAGCCTTGAACTTAACACAAGTCCCCCTGGTGGGAGGCTTGCTGGTGTGACTGGCTGGGCGCAAAGCGCCCCCTGCCGCAGGGAGGGACTTGAAACTAAAAACGCTTTCCCAGTGTGAGGCAGAAAGAAAGTTTTTGTGTGGTGACCTTCCTTGCCCCACCACACATTCATTATAATTCAATTTTTTTCTTGATTCTGGTAGATGAAAGATATACATAATCTGGATTTTCTTACATTATTTTTAGAGGCTTGGCTAATCGACTCCCAAAAGTTGGAGAGTCGTTGAGGGTGCACACCTCGAAGGCCGAGAGGGTACCTCTCGGGTACACTCTCCACCATTGAGAGGTACACTCAACGGCCGTGTACCTCTCAGCGGCCAAGGGTGTACACCCTCAACGACCGAGAGGCTTTCTCTTGGCCGATGAGAGTGTACACTCTCAACAGCCGAGAGGTATGCACTCTCGTCTGTTGAGAGTGTACTCCCTCTGTGAGAGTGTGCTCTCAATGGCCGGGAGGATTTCCTCCCGGCCATTGGGGCTGTTTTTGGGTTGACGACCCCCAAAACCCAGTGGGTTTTGAGGCATCAAATCCCTCCCCCTTCGGGGGTTTCAGTTTTTTTATTTTAATTTGTTGGGGATCCGACTCCAAAACCTGCTGACAGGTTTGGGGGATCGACTCCCAAATTCGGGGGTTTGGGGGTTTGGGAGTCGACTCTCCAGCTTTTGGGAGTCAATTAGCCAAGCCTCTATTTTTATTTTAAAAAGTTGTATGATTCTACTTGAAAATATGCAATGAAGTTCATGATTTTGAACTTTGATTTGCAAATTTGGCAGAGAGGTTCGAGCGCAATCTCAGTATAAGTATATTTTGTGCCTGCAAAATGAGAATTCCTCTTTTTTTTAAAAAATTTGGCATGGAAATACAAATAAAAAAAATACAGAAAGATTGACAAGATGGTAGAGAACATAAAAAAGGCTGCAATGGAATTTTGACAAAAATGGCATGAAAGCCAGAGGTGATAACACAAAAAGGGCCTCAAAAGCAGGCCTGCCTCACAGAAGCTTTGAGTAATAGTATTTAAGCCTCTCTGATGAGACTGGGCTGCCGCAAACAACTCTCGTCACAGGAGAATTAGTTAAGCTTGGGGCAGCCTCTGCAAGTGCCTTTACATACAAATTGTTTTGGGCCAGTTTGGCTGGTAGGGATCGGGGGAAAGGCAGTGCCTTAGAGCCTCTCCACTGTGGTCCCTAAAATGGGTCCCTAAAACGTTGCATTTGGAAACCGCACTACCTGCTATGCGGACCCAAGATGCTGCGGCAGACACCGCGGGTCCCCAATTTGGGTCGCTATCTGCTCCCCGCCCTCCCCTGAGCACAGAAAATACTTGTCCAAGCGGCCAAAAATCTATTGGGCCCTGTTTGGCCGTCCGTAATTTTTAATTTTGAGTCAAGATTTGGCAGGAGTTTGTGCAAAAATTTTATATCATTTTATATTGCACGGTCCAAATACGCGCCAAACCTTGGCCAAATCACAAATCATGATTTGCGGCCAAACAGGGCCTTGGTTTTCATTTGTAACTATCAATTGATGAGAGATTCCGAGCAGGATTTTGCTCTACGGAATGATCTTATTGCTGATCTATGGGCACGAAAGGGCCAGCTTGAACAAGATAGTGACAATGGGGACAATTAATTGCTTCCTGTTGATGATGACTCTAGTGAATTGCTAGAGGAAGCTTCAAACTCCAAATGAGAGGAGTAAATTTTTATGCCTCACTCATCTGATAGTCAATAGAGTGGGAGCAGGTCCTTGAGCAACCAAGATATTGGTTTTTTGAGAGTGGGATCAACAATGGTGTTGCTTGTGGGTGTCACCATCAAGGTGAGGTGTCTTGTTGGGTGCTTGGTAGGTAGCCTGTTGTGTCCAGAAAGAATAGGGAGGGGAGATTGGGGGAGGTTGAGTTTCAGAAGGATGGAGTTCACAGGACAAACACAAGAATTGTGTATGATCCTTGTGGATATCAGCATCCCTAGCCAATCCCTGGATCCAGGGTCTGGAGAGGGACCAATGATGAAAACCGTAATATACGGACGCGGATGGGGACCGCGGTGGGCGGCGTTTTTTGGGCCGCGGTCCCTAAATTGCGGGATAGGGACCCGATTTAGGGACTGCGGTGGCCGAGATGCTACCACCATGATGTGCCGCTGGCTGGGAAAGCACAAAGGGCCGGGGTGTCCATCGAGTCCCGGGTGTGCTGTCCTGGCCGGGGTGTACCTTGACCGGGCTGTCGCAAGCCCGGTAAATTGCTTCCGGGGTGTATGATTAATGTTGTTTCCTCTCTCTCGATCCGATCAACCATCGTCTCAGACTGCTTTGTGAAAGTCCAACGACTGCACACATATTACAATAATAGTCATTCTAGTCACCCATCGATCTCTCTAAGTATTTAGCTCTCCCCAGCGATTTTCTTACAATCTCAATAGGGGGACTGCTCGTAAGTCAGGTGTGCTGGCTTTCGTTTGGCCTTGACTACAACAGACAACTATTCGTTTGAAGTTGAATATATGTATCATATGTTCCCCAGAGCTTCGGCAGATCTCGACCCGTTGGCTAACAAACCTCATTCAAACTGACTTCAAGACGGGGTTTGGGAAATTTAAAAAGTCAAGTTTACAAAGACCATCCCTTGTAAAACCATGAGGTTGTAAAACTGCAAAAGAAACCCTGAGAATATGATTTTACAGAGAAACCGTTCAATCTCACTCATTGCAAATGAGAGACCGTAAATCCTTGCTTGTAAAGTTCCATCTCCGGAGCTGGAATGAGAGTTTCACGCCTCATCGGTCACAAAGCGCCTCAATAGGCTATGTAAATGTGCTTATAGTGACCTCCAGGTCTAATTTTACGCACAACCCTTTGCAAAGACCACATACCTTATCCTTTCTGACTGACTTCATCTGTTTCTTTTTGTTCCCATATATCATCCTACCCACCGTCCATCTGTTAGCTCTATCATCTGAACTCTTCCCTTCTCCAAATTCTTCGTGCAATTTTCCCTTCATAACACCCGTCATTCATTTTCCTGCCATCATCTGCTTAATTTTCCTCATCAGATTGCTCAACCGTCTCAATTTTTCCATCACCTTGCTCAACCATATCAACTTTTCTATCAGTTTGCTCAATCACCAGAATTTTCCACACCGCCAAACTTCCATTCACTTTCCCATCCCTCCATCTAATTAGAATTATCATGCAATCACCATCTCCCACACCACCCGTACCACTCCCTGCTACCGCAACCCGTCAGTGGGGATTTCCCTTGACAAAAGATCAAGTGACATTCATCGATCATGATAATGTCATCGACAAGGAAGGCTACCCCCTATATCCCAACCACAACACCGTATTTGTACTTCTACCTGGCGTCAATATAACTAACTTCGGCACTGTAGGATTTTCAAAGACTACCTCGTCAGAAACCTCAAAGGATGGACGTTGGAAGATCCATCGCGCACACTGCCTTGGAGTGATTCTTTGCACTCGTGATGGTTGTGAGTACGCTGGACCGACCCCCACAGGCCAAGGGAAGATTGAAGAGCTTCTCCGCACGTAAGTCTTGGTCTTGCAGTTAGATTACTCATCTTTTGGGTATTTATTTCAATTTGCTGATGGTTTTTTCTCTTGCAAACAGGAAACCATCTTGCCCAGCCGACGAATGCCCTGGCAGCATCTACTGGAAGCAATGTCACAATACACAAACCAGGTTTGATCACGAACTCAGTACTGGATGGAGACTGATGCGGCATCAAGGTTGCCATGATCACCCATGGCCAACCTCAAAGAAACCCGACCCTCTTTCCAGGAATTGCTTGCCGCGGAAGTTGCCAAAAATCCAAAGGCTGGCGCTCTTCAACTCAAGGTTTTCTCATTTTGTCTCGATTTAGTTCTCCATTACAAATTAATGAACTTAAATTGACGCAATTTGCTAATAATTTGTTTTGCCACATATAGGTTGGAAACCCAGACAAGTCTCATGAGCCTGACAATGGTATTGCCAGTATACATGGCTCCTTAGCAAACTCGGACAGGCTCCGACACCTTCGACGAGAGGCCCTGCGAGAAATGAACCTTGCCCCCAATAAAGATGGAGATGGCGCAGGTGACCAATTCATGCACGACATGTTCATGTGGGATTCGTTGAGTCCAATCCTCTTCCCTTCCTTCCCCCCTGTTTTTGTTCTTTTTGGTCTTCACTAACAATCATCAACATTTGAACCAGGCGTGGGTTGGAAATTATCTCAGCATCATTTAGGAACGGCAAGGAGCATTTCACTTTTCAGACTCCATGGATGGCGATGCGACTTTTGGAAAAAACAGACGATGGGGAAAACGGCCCCAGTTTCTACCATGGGGGCTTAATATCTGATGTGACCTATTGATATTTCAAGTCAGGATACTTACTTACCACCTCAATGTACTGCCAGAAGATCAACCGGTGGATCCCGGTACAGCTCAGCTGGATACGTGGCCTTTCCGAGGCTTATTATCACACTCACTTTTCTGTTCTTTTCCAGCAATTCATGCGTCCGGATATCTCAGTAGACGAGCGGGAAGCTCTGGCCCGGAACGTTGTCGATTTCTCTCTGGCTCAAATGGAAGGTTTTATCTCGGCATACCTTGAAGTATTTGGCGGGACAGACCGTGTTGACGCACGCAACAAATTGAAAGGTTGCAAGCAACACTTCCGAGCCTCTGTCACTCGCATCAAGCGCAATCGAGCTGTGATCCAGGCTGACGAGGTTGTGAGTTAAATTTCACCTCGTCCCTTTTCCCTATCCATGGATAAAATTGGTCCAAATTCTTCTGACTTTCTTCCATCAAGTCTATTTTTGAGTCAATGTGTGAGTCGTTACTCCTCCGTAATGTAGATGGTGGCCCCACCCATGGCGAAAAGATCGATGCTTTACATCGCCGGTTCCCCAAAGTGAGGAGGTGGATTGATTGGTGGACTACTGCGGATGTTGAGGCAATGCTGTTCCCAAGCCGTCGCCAAATGTTGGATGACAAACCCGATTCGGATGATGGGATTCCAGATACAACAAACGCTCAAGAGAGCATGCACAGGGTCTACTACATGCTAAGGTAAGCTTGATTTATTTCATAGAACTGGTTCCATCTAGCCTTTGGTCTTGTAAAAACTGACTCAAACCCATGAATTTGTAACAGCTCTGGGAAAAAATCACTGATGATTGGGATGATCGAGCTCTATGCCTTCGTCACGGCCCTTGAGAAAGACTGGGTGCAAGTCCGACGGGGCATTCCAATCGCTTACGGCTCCCTTCCACCCAAACAAGTCAATGTGTCCCACTCAATCGGATGGAGCAAAGCAACAAAGAGACAGAAGGCCGCTTGGAATGACGGTCGTGCCCCTGACACAACAGAACAACTTCTTTCTGACTCCGAGAAACCACCCAAACGTTCTAAACTAGGAAGGCCAAAGAACTCGCCAAACATCAACAAGGACCCTCAGTCCACGTACATCTCCTACATTGCTTCAAACAATATTCTGGCGCGCAATTGATGTTGGCTGGCGGCCGCACTGGAATCTCTTTACGCAGTTTATAGCCCTCTCTGGCTCCAAGAACCTGGCGGAAAACACACCGATCTGTTCTTCTTACTTGTATCTCACTTCACAAATCGGACGACTTACAAAATGAAGCAAAGTTCGCAATTACGTTCAATCTTAACTCGGGGTTCCAACAAAATATTTCTGGAAGTCCAAAAACTTTATCCAGCAAATTTTGTCGCAGGAGCCTTTGCATCGTGCGATCTGTTTTTGGAACTTGTCTTGGATCCAAAGAAGAACAAATCCAAGACTTTACCCAGGCTTTTTCGTGTCCAGGAGGACAGAGCCTTTTCTTGTCCTCTCCACCCCGAGCAACAAGAACATCCTCGAGGGTCTCGCGAGGTCGGTGTACTCAACATAAGAAAGTCAATGTTTGATTTCAATAACATTGACCGTGCAAATGTGGCGGAGCTGATTAATCAATGGGGTAGTAAGGGCCTTGCTGGTATCTCTGGACTTTGTTGCAAGCAATGCCGAAGTGAGGAATCTCAAGGTCAACCTTCCCCTAACGGTCAGAGCTATCTGCAGGAAGTTTCGACAATCTCCATTATAAATGGTAAACCTCCGGCACATTTATATTTCTATGTTGATGTTGCAACAATTTCCGACGGGGACGAACAAAACCGATTCATGAGCAACATTGATTGGCCGTTCAAAATCAGATTTTCCGGGGAGGAATACACTTTGATTTCACGTGGGTTTTGGGGGAAGTCACACTACTGGGGAAAAGTCTTGCGATACGTCAATGGTATCACCGCTGTCTGGATGCACGATGACAGAACAAACGGTGGAATCGCACAGTTGGTTGACCGGGTTCCTGGGAGCATTAGCGGTGCACAACCACACACCAGCTGGATGGTCTACTCTCGAAGATGGACTCAGGATGAGGAGGCCTTCATCAGCCAAAGCATTGTCAACATCCAGCGCGACAACCCCACCGTGAAAGCTGACAACATTCCTTTTGTCAATATGGGAGCTGTCATCCAAGCCAGTTATGATTCGGCTTTACCCCATCTTACACAGCATCAAGCCTCCCCGTCTGATTTGACCGAAATTATTGCTCAATCCTGTGGTGAGACCAAACCCCAAGGTGAGTTGAATCTGTCCTCAAGATCGTTGTGCAAACAAAGCTAACTGTCTTGAACCTAGATGGCAACAATGTAGAGCCACCCGCCAATTCCGCTGGCAAGGGCTTGAAAATTCGCATTCGAAGGATAAGATCAGATATGCCCACTCAGGCAAATCCTCGTGTTTTGGACGCAAAGACCGAGAAACCCACGGCGCAGCGTGGTCGGCCAAAGCCCAGGAAACTTGCGGACAAGACGTTTAAATCGGAGCCATTGACTGACGATGACTGGGCTCGCATATCGGCCACCTATTGGAATAACCGTCCGAAGGAGACTGACAGGGAAATGTTGGCTTTGCATTCGAAACGGGCGGCAACATTTGGGTCAAGTGCCGTGTTGCAGGCGGGCAGGGATCCTCATCTCCCTGAAACTATTCATGACAATTCACAAGGTACTGAAGAACATCAACTGACCCTCCACGCTGGTGCCCAAATGGGGAGTCAAGCACTGCGCCGGTCTTCCAGAAACCGCAAGTGATTGGAAGGACCTGTTTCGCTATTGTTCTGATTGTATTTTGTCTTAATTTTTCGTTCATTTTTTTTTGGTTAGCTGGCATGAAGTTTTGTTGTTTTTTTGATACATTTGTTTTTTTCTTTTTTGCAAGCAATGGGTCGCACTCCAAGACCTTTGTTGAATATTTGTTACAATTGTTGGACACTTTTTTGTACGGTTTGCATGACTTTGTAATTTTGCCTCTGTAAATATAAATAATGTGTTTGTATTTTGCGGGTTTGCAAAGCCCAGTTTTCACAGTGGTCAGACTCTGTTCGTAGGCCTTTGCAACTTTGGATGTGCGTTGGGTTGACGGGCAGTTTTGGAGGGGATTTCTCAAGGCGAGACATCTTACAAAGGATGAGTGAATGTACGATTTTGCAAATCTAGATATTATTTGACCATTATACAATTTTACAAAGAATACCAATTACAGTGACTTGTCCTCTTAAAATATACTTTTCAAATTTCAACATCCCCCTTCAAGACGAGCCGTCTTGCTGGATTTTGTCTGAGACCGACCAGCCTCGCAAGCTTCCTTTGCTCTCCCTAGCTGCAAGTTCATTTTTGATTGATTCATGACCAAACCATATCGGCCACAGTAAAAATTCTGATCCAGCCTACCCACCTGCAGATTGCCAACATGGACTCATCACCAGAGGACCTAACAGGCCCGAAACCAGAGGGCCTAACAAGCCCAGAAGAGCCAAATTTGGCATCGGATCTCGACAACCTTCGTTCTCGGTATGCAGGACTACATCCACTTGTCCAGGACAATCAGAACTCGTTCTCAAGATTACTCCGTGAATCTTCAAGTATGTTGAATTACATTGATCATCCTGCCTTTCATGCATTAGATCATTAATTACACTCGTGACTTTTTTGGACTTGAAGGGAGAAAGGTGGAGCAATATCTTGATGACCTTGCTGAAGCTTTTGCCAGACTCGAAGTGCCTCTCGAGACACGTAATAAGCTGTGGCGCAATTTTCTCTACAGGGATCAACATATTCGCGGCACCCTTATCATAGTTTGTGGATCAGACGATAACTTGAAAGCGGAATTCGTCCGACTTGCGTTCTTTCATCAACATCCAGAGTTTGCTGGCGCAGAACGTCCAATTTCTCCCGAACGAATGCTTGTCGCACTCGCAGCCCCGTCCCGCGCGGAGGCAGAGACCCTTATAAGAGCTGGACGGCTACCAGCATCCGACGACCTCGATGATATCGCAATCCTGAAGGAAGGTTACAAACATGAATACCTGAGGAGTGAAACAATTGTGAGACCGATCCTCAAGAAGCTCAGTGACAATGCGAAAGACTGGCGTCCGAGCAAATATGTCGCCCCATACACCACCTTGATTGGGCCGAGTATGAGTGGAAAGACTCGCTTACTCATGAAACTCTCGGAAAATATATGTGTTGTTTACATCTGTCTTCGCGAACGTAATTCGTGTCGTGAACAACCCCCCAGATCTGTGTTGGCTGATGAGATGCAACTTCCAGCTAAAAAAGCACACGGACTGGAAATACATTATTCTCGACTTCTGGCTGCTATTTTTGACGTGGTGGCAGACTTTTTCTCCGATCCATCCCTCGGGATTGATGAGAAGGCTCGACTCTCGGCATGGTATAGCTACAATCACAACTGCGGCGATGACCTGGCAGCTCGAGTTCGAGACACAATGAAAGGAATTGGCCAGAACATATATGCTGCTTCTGTCGCCTTCACGACGAAATTGGAGAAGTTGGAAACAAACCTAGGTTTTATCAGTAATCAGGATCTGAAGGTACTGCTCGCTTTCGATGAGGCACGGGCTCTCGTCGAACAGGAAACCTGTGAAGATGAAAGTTTGCCATACTTTCACGTGCTTCGTCGAGTTTTATCCAAAATACCGCCTAAGCTTCAATTCTTTGCGATCTTTGCGAACACCACATTGGATGTGGCAAATTTCAGCCCTTCGTCCCTGTACAACAATGATCCCAGCGGAAGACCTTTACCTGATTCCAAAGAGGTATACGCACCAATATATGCTATTGGCACCTTTGACTCAAAGGTTCCCTCCTGTCCACCTAAGACGTGGGACGAGTTGCTATCGCCCCGAAGACTATTCAGTTACGGCAGCCCGTTTTTTCGGATTTATTTCGAGGAGGCCGAAAAACCAGAAAGAGCAATGCCAACCGGTCAGATTGTTCAAGAGGTCACAAAGATCGCCACCGACAAGCTACTTTGCTTTCCCCGCCTTTCTGAAGACCTATCCGAAGCTCAGATTTTGGCGCTGCTAGGTTGCACGATCCAGCCACAGATCCACAAAGCCGCAAAGCTGAACTCGGAGTTGGTCTCGAGTCATCTGGCTCAGTGCTTGTATATCTCACCTATGCGCGAAAGATGGGTCAGCGAATACCCATCACAATTCACTTTGTCCATGGCGGCCAACACCTTCCTTACAAAAACGGATTCCAGACTTGTTTCCTGCATCAAGGTTCTCACTAACTTTGTGCAAGAAGGACTTATCTCCTCGGAAAATTCTGGACAACTGGTTTCTAGAATCATCTTACTGCGAGCAATGCAGAAAGCCATGTGGACTTCTCCTATACGCACCAAGCAAACAGATATTCCTTATGGATGTTCAGTCCGATTGGTAGATTTCTTGAAGGCCTTGATTGGAGAGGAATCGGAGTTGAAGTTGGACATGGATGGCGATCAGCAAACTCGGCTCTTGAAAGAGGGTCGAATCTTTTGGAACCACTTTACACATATTTCTTATACACCACATCCGGCTCATTTTCTGAAGTTCTTGTACCGAGGCCTGGCGGTACAGTGCAAGCCAGATCAAAGGGGATTCGATCAGATGTTCCCCATCTACCTTGCGCCGGAGCTTTCTGAGTTTACACTCGATGAAGATCGGATCTCATTCTGCGGAGTTCAGGCGAAGAACGACTCGGTCAAATTTCAAGAGGAGGGTCCGAAGTGGAATTCCAAATACGCGAGAGTTGGACTCAAAGACGATATTCCATACCTATTCATTCTCTTCAGTTTCAGAACTACAAGAACAAAGTACACGTTGCCCACGATTCCTCAACGCGGCTCTCTAATCTTCCATGGCCTGGACCAAATCAAATGTCTGACACCCGAAATTTCTAGCGCCTTGAAAGAGCTTTTAAGTGTTGTTACGGATATCCGGGATTTTGACAAAGACAACAAAGACATCAGACGCTTTGTTGAGAACACTCGCCCTTGCGCCTACCGACATGATGATCGTGAAGTGGACTGGAATTGTGATTCGGACGATGGAATTGACATTGATCAAGGTCCGGAGAATGAAACTCATCATCATGAAGAATAGGCGATCCGATGAGCTGATTGATTTTGGTTGGTTTGTCCCATCCACTTGATTCCGTTTGCTCTGTTGCAATAAATATCAATTGACTGTACTTCTTCTATATTCTACTTTCTGATTTATCTCAGATTTTTCTATCCAATCTCGGTTCACTCTTCACCGCTGATCATCAAACCATCATCGCCAATATTAAATAATCTAGTTCAATCTTCTTACCACCAATGACATTCAGTTTTCTGTCTGCCAAGCTCATCCAACCTTTGCTTCCGTTTGTATCCGATTCCCCTGCCCCCAGCTGTCTTAGCCTCGCCTTGGAACGATCCTTGGCCTTTTGTACCATCAGACCCTCCCTCATCCTTGCCAACCCATGGCCGTTTGCTTTTGATTTTGCACCACCATCATCCCACCGTTTCAGCCAGTTCTATCCGTGCTCATCTTTTCGTCTCCTAGTCGGCGCCTTGCTATAATTTCCTTTCTTCGTGTATTTGCGTTCATTGATAGTTTTTCTATTCCCGTCGTGTTCCGCTACCAGTGTCCGTAAACCTCGCCTTCGTCCTTATTTGCCACTCCAAAAATAACGCCTTGTTGGTGTCTTGCTTTCATGTCTCCATCCTTGATTCATCTGTATTGTTATTAATACATCAACAAACAAGAAAGATTATCAAAATTCAATTTATTAAGTTGTTAGCTGACCCTGCTCGTCTTCTATCTCCTATGCCTAAACACAAGTTATCGTGTTTTGATTCCTATGCTTGTCTATAGTTAGCAAGCTTTCAAAATGTAAGAAAAAAATCATCACAGATAAACTGCGGCTGATGATATATGTAGCCATCATGTCAAATCAGGACTCATCAATGAAGCGCCTTCTGGGTACTTCTTACCAGCTATAAACTGTACAAGAAAACCTGCAAAGAGTAAAAATGCAAAACTGGGAAATAGAAGAAAGACCTTGCTTGAGGCTGATGATCAAATTTTAGCCTGACCCGCAGTGAATTTCAATGCATATGTTTGCTGATCATCATGGTCAATAAAAATCTGATGGATGAGGGCCCTTTGTGAGCCTGAAGAAGAAGTAAATCTAATTCAACAATAATAATGACTGTATCATGGAAAAATCCACAATTCACAGTCGTTGAGACCAGCTCAAGCCAATATTAGGGTTTCACCCCAACTGGAGTCTTTGGTCACTCATCCCTTCCAACTTCATCTACAGATCCCTTTGGTAGGAGTGGGATACTGATGCTTAGTGATGGCTGGATACAAGTGTTCTCCAAAAGCTCAAGTCCGCTGGGTAGGAATAAGACGGATACTAGTGTACAGCTTCCTTTTGTCAAAAATACATAATCCTAATACATACATACAAGTAGGTCAGTCGCAATCCAACGTCTGCTGAGAGAATATAGCCATTCAAATGGAAGGGTCATGATATACAAGGGAAGGGTTCGTAATTAAAATGGTTGAAAAACATCGGGTCAGTCCATATTAGCAAGTAGGATGATGAGCCCGATCTGAATCGCTGCCACGGCCGCCGCCATGAGGAGCACGAAGTCTCCTGGAGTGCGATACTCCCGACCCCACACCCTCGGCCCTTGAGCTTCATTCAGGGCCAGTTCGGTCGGCTGGGGGAAATGTGCATCTGCAAAATCGTGATTTAACCTTCGACGACGGATGTAAGATATGCTTAAAATTAATAGAGACAGCGCCGCGAATTCTAAGCCAACTGGTCAGGACATACATAGAAAACAACAAAAAAAATTAAGTTGGCTTTCGAATTTGGATCGACGATAGGGTACGGAGTCATTTTGATCGATGAGTGAAGTGTGTGTTTACTGACTCTGGGAAAGCTCTTTGCGGAACATTTTGGTGATTGTGAGTGCGAAAAACGAGCAGCCCAGTGCACTCCTTAGATAAGCGCCTAGACAGGCAAATGGAAAAGAAAAAAGGGTCAGTTTTCGGGAACAGAAAGTCTACCAAATTGAATGCTGAGCAGGAGAAAACTGAAAGACAGGGGAGAATGATATGTTGATGTAATGGTAGAAATGCAGGACGAGAACACGGACCATCAAACGTGCGTTGCCGGGCACGCCATTCAGTGAGTTCATCAAGGTCCTCAACGATAAGGCTTCCACTGCGATGACCGCGATAGAGATGGCGCCGATTGGCGCAAGAAAGGCGCTGCTGAGTCGCCGGCTCTGATTCACAACGGTCCAGGACCCCATCTTCGTCCGATGGATCGGATCGATTCCGTACTGGCATTGAGGCTTCCTGAGCCGAAACTGAGATCGGACTAGTTGGAGATGAAGAGCCGCAGGGTTGGTGGGGGTGATCTATCGATGGCATCATTTTCTTGATATCGCGAGGTGAGTCGATTGTCGTGGTTCTTCTTACCGGAAGAAATTGTCCTTGGACAAACGTTCTGTCCCGAAAGTCAACTCACAAAACCTTAATTCCCCGCAGTCTAGCTCCTCAAACTCCACATAATCATTGTGATCACATATGATCAGTCCATCCACAACCCAACTTCTCAAATCCAACCAAACCTAGAAGGTGCCTGACTCTACTGATCAGCAACTTCCTCTTCCAAGCTCCACAAGCTTCAAATGACACCAATCCAACTCTAATCAACTCATTGTCCAGCTGCTTCACAGACTGGTCACTTTGAAAGGAAGGTGAAAGAGGTGAGACTGACATGGCAGCGTGTCTGACCTCACAAACTGATCTGATTGAGGGTGAGGGTGAGGGTGTGGGTGTGGGTGTGCAACCCCTTGAGTGGAATAGATTTCCCTTTTGTGCTATGAGATTGTTCTGTGAGACCACAAATAATATTCAGTTTGCCATTGGTAACTCAAAATTGAATCATCTTTTTTACAGTCTTGTTTCTTTCTCCAATTTCTTCATCCGGAAAAAATAAATCATAAGAATAATGGCCAAAGATGAGCTAAATTTGGAAAAGAAAAATTAAAATACTATGAAATGAGATTATTCAAAAACCAAGTGCTCATTTTTGGACTCAGCTCATTCTTGCCCTTGAAAAAATCTTAGGGATTCACAGATGGAATGATTTTTGTTAAGGAGGGGTGCTCATCCAATGATCAGGGACGCAAGCATCTACATGTTATAGATTTGGTTTCCCAGCCAAACAAACATCTTGAAAAATTTGTTCTGGTGTACTGGAGAATGCAAGGTGAAAATGACCTTTCTTGGTATTGGCAAGTTGAATGGAAAACTAATTTTTACCCGGATTCAAAAGCCAGTGATGTACTACAGGAAAACTTTTGCTAATCTAGTTCTGATCTGCCTCACACCAACATAAAAGAAAAATTTGGTGGATTTGTGCAGATACTAAATGTGGCCAGTCTCTTTAACTTGTGTTGATTTGAACATCCACATAGCTACATAATATTAGAGTATTTTTGGGATATTCTGGTAGTGCTTTGAATGAAGGGGTATATATTCAGCATGTGAATTCTGATTTGTACCACCTGCATAGCCCAAAAGCAAATTGGTCTCCCTTGTTCCCAACTCATTCATCTGCAACCAAAAAATTCTTGGTTCAATTCCCACTCAGATCTTGTTGAAGTCTACAAGCTCAAGTTTCAGTCCAATCAAAACACTTGATCATTATGAAAATTGGAATATTCACAATTGCCTGCAGCTTCAGCAATGTATTATCATACTTAGTATTTGATGGCATATCATACAAATCATCCTGCGTCCTAGCACCCAACTGCAAAGGACGTGGTCTCATAGTTCCATTAAACAAAGTTCGAGAACTAGGATTCCCATTAGAAGAAAAATGTGGTCCCTATTTGTCTGGTGGAGAAAAGAAATATTGCATCAATACCCGTAATAAGTTGTATTTCCAATGCAAAAGATGCCGTACAATTTACTGCGAAAATGATGGAGTTGCAACAAGCAAAAATGGTGATCAAGACTGTACAGCTGAGCACTACAACAAAGAAATCTATCAACATACGAAAATGGACCTCATTGGTGACACCTATGGCAAACTTAGATTAGATCCACTCCCTGAACACAGTAGCACTGGAAGCTGAAAAAATCAGTTTGAAAACACCCGCTGCACAATATTTTTAACACTGCATCCTACAGCACAAATTATAAATATTTTTACCAGATAAAATCAAGATTGTATTCAAACCACCTAGTTTTGTCTTTTTCAATTCACCTGAATTACTGGGAAGCTAAAAGATTCCACCGGTCTTCAATCCACCAAACTATCTCATCAGGTTAAGCTCAACAATGAAACCAATGAAATACATGTATTTGTATTTATTTGTATTTTTATCTGTTTTTCTCTGAATTCATTGTATTTGTATTGTATCAAAGATCTTTCTCTGGTCAGAAAGACAGACCAATAACAAAATATGATACCTTATCTTTTTGTATCTGCCAAAAAGTTTGTTGAAAACAGTCAAAATTGGCCAAATAATGTTTAGTGATTTTTTGATAAAATACAATGCTATTGTATCTGATTTTAGATAGGACATGCAATACATTTTTTTGAGTATCAGAAAAAAGATACAATACAAAATTATTTGCATATACTGTATCATGTATTGTATCATATCTGTATCACCTTTGCAAGTCCTGAAGGGAATCTAATTTGTTAATCAAAACCATACTTGTTCTTTGGGAAGTTAACAAAGAAATTCTCTGTTAATTGACCTGATATAATAAGGGTGTAAAATTTCTTTAGCTTGTGTTGGTTTGGAAATTTACATAGTTACACAATCTTAGAGTATTGTCCGGATACTCCAGCAGTGCTTTGGAAGAAGGGGTCTGGTATATAGTCTGCATGTGGAGTGTGATTTGTACCACCTGCATAGCCCAACAGCAAATTGGTTTCCCTTGTTTCAAAATCCGGAACTTGTTTCCAATATATCACTGGTTCAATTCCCATCCAGATCCTGAAGTTAAAGTCTGCAAGCCCAAGTATTAGTCCCATTGAACACTTAATCATGATGATAATTAGCATCTTAACAATTGCCTGCAGTTTTGGTCATGTCCTATCATCCTTAGTATATGGTGATATAGTATACCATTCAGCATGTGTTCACATACTCACATGTCAGGGGCATGGCCTCATAATTCCAACAAACAAGGTCCAACAACATAAATTCCCATTTCAAGATGAATGTGGTCATTATTTCTATGGTGGAGTGAAGAATCATTGCCCCAATATCCGCAATAAGTTGTATTTCCAATGTCAAGATTGCCGTACAATCTATCGTGAAAATGATGGAACTCCAATAGCCATAAAAAGTGGTGAAATCTGTACAGATGATCACTACAACAAAGAGATTCATATGCATACAAAAATGGACCTCATTGGAAGCATCTATGGCCAAGTTAGATTGAAACCACTCCCTTCTAGCACACATGGTGGCAACTAAATAATTCAGTTGAAACACACACACTGTACAATACCTTTTAAAAATACATCATAAAACCTACCTCATCAAAATATTCATAAAATAAAACTCAGGTTGTATTCACTCCACCTATTCTTTTCAAGAAAGTCCTCCTGAGCAAATGGATAGCAGGCCTTTGATACATCAAACCGTTTTTTCAGGCTAGGCTTGGGGGGTGATCTCAAAACCATGATTTTTTTTTTTTGAAAATCAATAAAAAAACCTCTTGGTCTGATGAACCTTGTGAAAATAAGAGCATATTTACACCATCAAAGGTCTGAAGGAATGTCCAAGGTTGGTCTTGTGATCAAGGAGAAATTTTTTATTGATTTTATCAAGCTTTTTCTTTCTTTTGAAACCAATCTCAAGTTATGGGCACATAAGTTGATTTCAAAAATTGCCTTTTCAAGTGGCTGAATGACACCAAGCTGAAACAACAAGATCCATGCATGTCAGCTTGCTACTATGGCAGAGACAACCTGTCATAGCAAAATAAAATAAAAAACACCTAAAAAATCTAAGAATAAAGTAAAATATTACATAAGTAAAAGAAACTAATTTATTCATGTAAATAACACAAAAACAATTAAATAACATAGAAAGATTAGAGAAAACTTTAATTATTATTACAGATTCTAAATCTACGTACAATTTAACCTAGGGTACCTCAGCCAAAGGTACCCCTAATTGTAACTCCTTCATCCTGTAATACCCACTTAAAGAATTAACAGGTACCCATAGATCACGGGCACCTGAATAATTATGCATTATACATAACAAAATGCATATACTCCAAATCTTGTCTCAGATTTGGAGTGTTGTGTATAGTTTGGGAAGATAGAGTTGCGTGGCTTGCACTGTCTCCAAGCCCGCACGCCGCGTAGTCATGCTGCGCACTGTTGACAGGCGCGCCTGACTACAAATTGAGCCCAAGGCTCAAGCCCCCGCGCGTGCTAGGTAAGCCCACCCGCCTTGGATACATGCATAACCCCCTCTGGGTTACCAGTATCCAAGGAATGGGCCACAAGCGCCCCAGAATCCTCATTACACGTGACAACAAAGCCCCCACACGTGTAATAAAAATACAAACAAACTAGAATATGCATGAAAATACTACAGTAACCTAGAATATTCTATATTCCAAGTGGTAACACGTGTAGCAAGCCCCAGAAACCACCTCTTGGATATTCTGTGGCCCATTTCCAAGGAAATAACTCCACGTAACAGACTAGCAAGTATCCACAGGTTCCTGAGGGATATTCTTGGTTCAAATAAATTCGTGCATGACCCCTGTGAACTTCTAGAATATTATCCCCAAGGTTTCAGCCCTTGTTGCGTCACCATGTGGGCTAAAATGGGCCACAAAGCGCTCCCAAGTCCTACTAAGCTCCCCTGAGCAACCCCTGAGGTCTTCCACAGGTATTTAAAGGGCCTTCTGACCGCCCAAATAATGATCCCCCAGCTTTACAATACGATATAGAAACATACTTACCATTTACAAGTCCCCTACACTTGTAATTAGCCTAGTTACTACTATTACTGTTGTTATTAAAGCCTCAAAATTCCTCAAGAAACTCAACAGTTACCACCCAGCACCCAAAATCAACCTTTCTGAGCGCTCCCAACTGTCCTGTTTCCACATTGAAGATCCTCAAGACCCCATAGGATTATTACTAGTAAGTAATAACCCTTTTCTTGAGATTTTCCCCTTAAAATTCTTCCTGGGATTTAAACCACCCCTGTTTACAGGCCCCAGTGTTCCAGGTACCTAAATCCTCTGCTTTTGCACGATACCTTAGAGGGATTAAACCACCCCTGATTTATCAGGCCCCTCTGGTTTTATTTATATTAATTCTTTTAAGAGGTAAATTGGCCATTTTTTCTTATAAATTACGCCATAAGTATTGCTCTATTTCTTTGGAATTTATTCCTTTGAAATTAAAACCAAAAGTCCTTAAGCTTTTTGCTTGTTTTTGCACCACGTGTAGCTAGAAGATATTCCATCTTGGCATCACGTAGGCTGACAATTGGGGGTCTGGCCGGGAAAATTTTTTATTAAAAAATACCTTTTTTAATAAAATAAACCACCTGAAATTTATTCCTTAATTTTCTCACATAAAAATTAAAATCAAACTCATAAAAATATACCATTTTATCACGGTCATCTTCTCATTACTTCAGAAAAAAATAAATACGTAATAAAAAACTATACAACTTTTTTTCTTACAAAAAACCAAACCTATATAAAAAATTATATCTCCTTTTTTTTCACCACATTTCTCCCATTCTTATCCTCGAAACAAAAAGTCCTAAAAAACAAAATCATTTCCATTTTTTTTTAGTGAATCTACAAGAGAACGCCGAGTTGATTCAACGCTATCTTGTTATTCTTAGGCTGCGCAAAGAAGAATCCGAAAAAAACTATCGTCCTACACCTTGGGAAAAACTATCCGAAGAAGAAAAACTCCTTCTCGCTACGTACCACGCTCACGTACATCAAGAACAAGACTTGGATCAACAGATCCAATTCCGAAGCTTTCTCCGAGATATTCGCGAGAAAAATCAACAGCTTAGTCGTAAAAGATACCTCGAAAAAAGTTAGATTCTAAAAACCTCTCTGCCCTTCTATCTACATATAACTAAAAGAATGGCCTCAGAGGGCCAAACAAACCGTCAGGCTTGAATAGGCCTTTCTATTGATTTCTCATGCGGCTTCTAACGCCGGCGTCGATGTTGCACATTTCAATGTCATTTCCGACATTCGCTAAGACTTTACAATCGATGGCAACCTTCAAAAGCGAAGGCTATATTCACAATGACCTTCAAAAGCGAAGGCTATTACACCACAGGACCTTCAAACAAGTAAAACCCCCAACATCCGGGGCAAAAACACGCAGCCTCCCCAAATTTGGGGGCATATACTAGTAAAAAAATAAAATAAATAGAAAAAATACTTACTCTCATCTTATCCAATCTGTTAAAGTGTCTACCTTTACGACAGGAGTTATTAGGCAAGAAAGAGCGAGTCCCACTCCTTCCGTTGATACCAATAACGGCGATAGTGATCATACTACCCCAAGTCAGTATCTTTTTTATCCTATTCTATTCGAGTCTAAAACCTTTTAATAATTAACGATATGACCAAAATGACTAGGTCAAATCGACCAGAACTCCGAAGCCCCCTCCCAGCTCCAACGAGACCTCGTGGCGGCAAAGGAGCTACGTGCTCGAGTCGAAAACCTACAGATGACCACTTTGAAACGCAAAGAAACGGCAACAGCGTCAAGAGAAGAGCCGCCTCAGAACATGGAGAAGAGTTCGGCCATGGAGATCGACGAGATAGATTCCGAATGCTCGGAAGCTACCCCGAAACGCCCTATAACCCCAGAGATCCGAGTCTTATCGAAGGAAGACCAGATCAAACTCCGGGTCAAAGAGCACGTCTCGCTTTGGAGACAGTGCCAAGTAGCTACGCGCGAAGGACCAACAGAAAAGCTGCGAGCCTTACTGACTACCGCTCAGGAGAGTCAGAAGGTTCTTCAGAAACTCATCGACAACGAGGAGATCGAGAGTTACGTGAAGGGTTGGAACCCTTGGGACGAAAAAAAACTACACTTCCCTTCCCCTCCGAAAAAGAATCTAATGAAATTCAAGAGAAACGAGCCCGGCAAGAAGCAAAGCTCAAGCTCGACCAACTTCTCCGATCCCGCCAAATGGAGGAAAGTCACAGACCTCCTTCAGATGGCCTCAGGTCTGTACCAGAATGTGTAGCCAATCCCAAAGTGGCTATTACTATTTTAGATTCTTTAGAGACCCTAAATTTCAATATTTCTACCTTAGATTCGAATAGCGAAAGCAACTTCGCTAGCATTGTACATAGTCTAGATTCTGCTACTAACAAAATGAAAGAGAACATTGAATTGGTTTGCGCTAAGATAATTCAGCAGCTGAATAAGCCTTTACCTATTGAGTTGACTCCGAGAAACAGTGAGCAATTAACCATCATCCAAAAGGATGTAGAGTATCTCCGAGATACTTCGAAAGATAGCAAAGAATTAATTAATGAGATAGTACAGTTTTCTCGAAACTCCGCTGCTCAGAGTAACGCTCAAGCCGACTACATCTTGTCCTCCATAAGACAAGATGCAATAGTCGAGAAAGCGAAGTTTGATAGGACAACGTCTGAGTTAAAGAATCTGTTGATACAGAAAAGCGCCGACACCGATAAAAAATTAGACCTTTTGAATGAAATGATACTAGATAAATTCAGTTCAATCAGAAATGAGATCTCTGCTGTCACACGTCTTAAACCAGATCCCCAAAATGATCGAAATGATCTAGCCGATAAAGATTCATCCCAAAAAGAGGAGAAGGATTTAATGTCCTCCCATTCTAATAGGTATACGAGTAGAGACGCGCCCCCTCATCAAACTAATAATGACAAAGTCAGAAAAAGTTTTGTAAGCTCAGAGGAACCAAAATATAATAATCCCTTTATGTATTCAAATACTCCCCCTGTCAAAAGCGGTTCTCCTCCTCCACTTAATTCTGATCCTAGAATACAAAGAAAATCAAATGAGGAAGCAGATTTTATAAGGAATTCTACCCCTTATACTGCGGCTGAGCTGGCCAATTTAAATAAATATATGCCTCCAATAAAAGATTGGCCAGAATTTGACGGGAAAGATGAATATGACCACATCAGTTTCATCAAATATATAGATTATTTGTTAAGAACTTACATGGCTCCAGATGATATGATTACTTCCAAGCTCCCTAGGATAATGAAAGGGATAGCAGGAGATTGGTTTGTTACTAAAAGCCAATCTATAGGCTTACAAAGTTGGGCTACCTGGAAGGAATTAATTATTGCCAGATTTAGCACCAGAGTATGGAAGACTGCTAAAAGAATAGCCTTTGAAAGTGACTATTTTGACCCTGTCAAGCATTCTGTTGGAGAATGGTGCTTACTCCAAAAGAAAAGAATTGAATGCATTTACAATAATCCCACAGCAGAAGAAATAAATGACAGGTTATTAACTCAATGCAAAGGGACCATAGAACACTTAGTCAGATGTAGGCTAAAAGATATGGATGTTGATCTAACAGAGTTTGTAGGAGTATTAGAGGAAGTTGTGATTATGAATGGCTTGAATAAAAAGTATGTCAGAAGTAATATACCTGAAAAAAGAGAATTCATCAAGCCAGACAACGTCAAAGAAAAGACTCCTGCAGCTGAAGCCCCCGTAAGAAAAGCTAGCGTACCTGAGTGTTATAATTGTGGAGAAAAGGGCCATAAAAGACCTGAGTGCCCTAATCCCCGCAAAAAGATCAATAATGTGGAAGTATATGAAGAAACTGACAGTGAGTATGACTCTGGATCTCAATTTGATGTCATAACCACTGAACCAGGAGAAGATGAGTCTCATAGAATTGTGGTAATCCAAGCTGATATTGGTGATGAATTACATATCAATACCATCCAAGGAGATTCTAATTTACCGCAGAAATGGGATTCTTCCATGAAAATTGGTCATGTTTCTGATGCTAAATTGCTCACTAATAAACCAGAAAAAGGAATGAGTTACACTATGGGAAAAACTAGTTACACTTCTGTTTTATTTGAAGATAAATCAGTAAAAGCTTTACTAGACATTGGAGCCTTTTGCTCATGTACCAGTAGCAACTTCTTAGATGAAATACATCCAGAATGGAAAAATAATTTGCTGCCTGTCCCCAAAGCAAAATTTAGTAGTTGTAATTCTTCAATGAAACCCTTAGGAATTGTAGTAATGCCATTAATCTTTCCGCACTCCAAAGGATCTTTAAGACTGTCAATAGAATTTGTAGTTCTTCAAGATGCTATTTGTGACTATTTAATTTTAGGAAATGACACTTTTTGCATGTATGGAATTGACATATTTCAAAGTAAGAACAGGTTCTACACTATTGGAGGAGATTGGAAAAGGAAATTTCAAATTTGCAATGTGAATATCAAAATCCCTGATATACCAGATGAAATTACAGAAGAAATGATGTCCTTCAAAGCTGAATATCTGTCTCAAGCAGCTGTTAGTGATATTCTAGATGAGCAACAGAAATTAGATGTGCTTAAAACTTGCTTCATAAATAAAGAATCCTTTTGTACTACTGAAGAACCTATTGGTAATATAAAAGGGCATGACATGAAGTTGGAATTAACTGTTAAAGAACCTTACCCTCCCCTCTTGAGAAGACCCCCTTATCCTTCCAGTCCTAAATCAAGAGAAGCTTTAGAAACTCACATCAGAGAGTTAATGGAATTAGGCGTGCTGAGAAAAGTTGGACACAATGAACAAGTAGAAATTACTACCCCCGTAATTATTGCTTGGCATAATGAGAAGTCAAGAATGGTTGGGGATTTCAGAGCTCTGAATAATTACACTAGACCTGATTATTACCCAATCCCACGTATTGATCACTCCTTGCATAATTTATCCAAAGCCAAATACATTACAACCATGGATGTTCTTAAAGGTTTTCATCAAATACCCATTGATCCTGACAGCAGACAATTTTTGAGAATAATTTGTCATTTGGGAATATATGAATATTTGAGAATGCCATTTGGAATCAAAAATGCCCCTTCCCATTTTCAGAGGATGATGGACTCAATTTTTGGTGCATTTATTAGACAAGACTGGATGATGGTCTACATAGATGATATAATTATATATTCGAATGATTGGGAAACCCACTTAGAGAAAATAAATCTAGTGCTGAGTACCGCCATCAAAACTGGTTTGAAAATGTCCATTAAAAAATGCAACTTTGGCTATGGAGAACTGAAAGCTCTAGGTAGGATAGTATCTGGCCTAACCCTAGCTGTAGATCAAAACAAAGTAGCTGCTGTGATGAACAAAGCTCTTCCTCATAACTTGAAAGAAATGATGTCATTTTTAGGCTTTTGTAGTTATTACAGGCAACATATCCCTCAATTTGCCATAGTGAGTAAGAATCTATACGCACTATGCAAAGATGACACCATTTATGAGATGACCTGGGAAAGAGTAAAAAATTATGAAGAATTGAAAAGGTTACTCACTTCTGCACCAGTCCTAGCCCAACCTGATTATGACAAGCCATTTATACTTTATATTGATGCTTGCTTGGATGGGCTTGGAGCTGCTCTTCATCAAGAATTTATTGTAGATGACAAACCCATGGAAAAACCAGTTCTTTTCATATCCAGACAAATTAAAGAATCTGAGAGGAAATATGGAGCCAGCCAAATGGAATGCTTAGCATTAGTATGGGCTCTGGACAAATTACATTACTACTTGGAAGGCTCTAATTTTGTAGTTATCACTGATTGTACCGCAGTTAAAACTCTAATGAATATGAAAACTCCCAACAGACACATGTTAAGATGGCAAATTGCTATTCAGCAATACAGAGGGCATATGACCATAATCCATAAAGCTGGCAAGAAACACATGAATGCTGATGGATTAAGCAGATGGGCACTCCCTAATACCCCTGATAACCCAGCATATGACCCTGAGGATGAAGACATATTTCCTATTTTGGGAATTCACGTATGTGACATGGAGAATGCTTTTTATGAACTAGTTCAGAAAAGTTATGACCAAAATAGTGAATTACTAAAATTAGTAGAAATATTGAGAAATGACAGTAGTCCCCCAGAACTAGCAGCTAGTTTAACACCTGTTCTGTCCAAACATTATAAATTAGGCAAATTCACGCTATTTGATGGATTGTTGTACTACAGACACAAACACTCAAGTGTACTTGTCTTATGTGATGAGGGACAAATAAAAAATATCCTTCAAGAATGTCATGATAATGTAAATTGTGGTCATTTTTCAGAAGAAAGGACAGTAGAAAGAGTCAAACAGACTGCATGGTGGATGAATTGGAAAACACAAGTTCATGAATACATCAAATCATGTGACACCTGTCAAAAAGCTAACAAACAGACAGGCAAGAGATTTGGACTGCTTCAGAAAATTGCTGAACCTACGGATAAATGGGAGATCATCAACATGGATTTTGTTACTGGATTACCTCCAGGAGGATCTTACTCCTACAACTCAGTACTAGTTATAGTTGATAGATTTTCCAAGAGAGCAAAATTTATTCCTAATCATAAAGATGATACTGCCATGGAAGTAGCTATGTTATTCTGGAACAGACTAATGGCTGACGTGGGCATCCCCAAAATAATCATCAGTGACAGAGACCCCAAATTCACGTCTGAATTCTGGAGAAACTTACATGATATGTTAGGAACAAAATTAGCTTTCTCCACAGCTTATCACCCCCAGACTGATGGCTTAGCTGAGAGAATGATACAAACCCTAGAAGACATGCTCAGAAGATTCTGTTCATTTGGCTTTGAATTCAAAAATCATGATGGATATACTCATGATTGGGTAAGCTTACTACCTGCCTTGGAAATAGCTTATAATAGTAGTATACATTCCTCTACTAAAGAAGCCCCATATATACTTGAGAGAGGATGGATCCCACGCATGCCCAAAGATACCATCAATGATAAATTACCTCATGTACACCCCACAGCACTAGATTTCAAGAAAATGTTAGATTCCACAAATTTACACGCCAAGAAATGTGTTGAAGATGCTGTAGAGTATAACAAGAATAGATGGGATAAGAGCCATAAAGAACCTGAATTCAAGATTGGAGATAAAGTCCTTCTGTCCACAGTCAATTTTAATAACCTTGGGGGGAACAAGAAACTCAAACCT